GTGTGTGTGTGCAGCAGTGCTGGGTGTGTTGGTGCCACCTGTGCCTCCTCGTGTCGGTCTCTCACAGAAGAAGGTAATGAGAGAGAAGGAAGCGTTGAAGTGTTATCTCCAAAGAGACAGAACTGTTAAACGGTACATAAATAATGAAGTGGGGAAAATGTCATCATGACACAAAAAGTGACTTTTTAAAAAGAACATTTTCACAATATAAATGTACCAAAATCAAATAAAAGTGAGCTGCAATAACGCACTTTAATCATTTTTATTTCACAATCCATTGGTTGATTATATACTAGACTACTATCTATTATGTTTTGTCCTTGTTTGGTTGTTAATTGTTTGTATGTGGCACCATTTCCTCTGTCCATGAAGCCACGGTGGAGTTTTCTTCTTCTTCTGTTTATTACAAATAAACCAGAATGTTCAAAGCATCACTTCCTGTGATGTTTGCAACAGTGAAATCAGCTGATTAAATCCAGGGTCCAAACAAAGAGACAAAGAGACGGACTCACCATGATGAGCGAGCTGAGCAGCATGGTCTGGATCCGCTTGGTGCCGTGATGCCTGAGTGACAGCAGAGGAAGAGGACGTCACGTTATTCCGTCAGAACCAACACGCCGAGTTCACCGTCACTACAGCGATGCAGTCAGCTCTGACTGGCCGTACCATAAACAGCATGACAGTGGCCAACACTGCAGCTTCCTTATTTATCTTTAAAGCATTGTAACTGAGGCTCAGAACACCACACGGCTGATCGAGGCTCAACTTCTGCATCATTCTCCAGATATAGTCTGTTTGCTTAATGAAAGGGAGGACATCTACAGGACTGTGAAGGGCTTTAATGTAACCTCCCAATGCTGGAATTCACATATACATTGTGAAAACTTTCATGGTGAAATATTATCGTAGCATTTTGGCGTATCAGGGCCACTGTAGTGTTGGGGTAGGAGGGGTTAGGAGGAGGAGGACGGGGCTCGTTTGATTTGGGATTATCTGTTCTTGCTCTCCTGAGGCCTGAAGGGATTAGATTGTTTTTATTGCTTTTGGTCGTCTCAGTGAACCGGCAGCTGAATTCACTGCAGGACGTCCAGGAGGTGAGGCGAGGACAGATTAATACACAATTCACTTTGTAAGGGGGAGGAAAAGAAGGAGAAGAAGAAGGAGAAGAGGAAGAGGAAGAGGAAGAAGACAGACAGAGAGACTGAGGTTTTTACAGATTCTAGATATAATAAATTGTGTAATTTTGGCACATAAGATATAAAACGCGTCTTTAAACTGGTGGATTGTGCGGTTCAGAGGCTTAGAGAACAGATGAGAGCGCTTTGATTCTTGGGTAACGACGGCGTGTGACTCACCCGATCTTCACGGTGTCCAAGGTGTGGCAGGGGGTCCCGTAGACGGGCACCCTGCCCATGACGAACATCATGACCTCAGCGCGCTGGTAGTCTGGCAGGTTTCCACCGAAGAAGCCTGGCGGGGGAGACGATGAGTCATATCTCTTTTTGAGGTTAAACGCATTACATAGTTTTACAAACAACAACAGAAAGGCTCCCGATGAGACAGGAAGCAGAGAGTACCGATGGTCTGGATGATGGCGTTCTGGACGATCCTCTCCTCGCTCTCTTTGCTGCGACCTGAAGACACGCTGATGCTGGAGTTCCTCCTGGAGCTCTCGCCCAGCTCGAAGTCTACGCTCATCCTCAGGTGTTTGAGCAGCGTGTTGAACACCTCCAGCACGGTGGGGCCTGCACACACACACACACACACACACACACACACACACACACACACACAC